GACATGCGTTTAATTTTTAATTGTGTATGTATGATAAGGTAAATAATACCGCTGCACTGTTGAGCGTCCATCGTCCACAGCCTATACACTTGAACCACAAATCAAACATTAATTTTCGTTACTCACACAATCGTTAAGTTCCACGTAATCATCATCAATTACATTTGGCATTTCAATATCGGATTTATGTGTTTCACTATAATTTCAGTTGATCTNCCTCATTTCGTATCCAGTCTGTGAACGAGAGACTTGAATCTCTGAACGAGAGACTCGAATCTCTAAACGAGAGACTCGAATCTCTGAGTGAACAATTTTATCGTTGGAGTCTCAGAGACTGTACCAGATCTATAAAAACATCTAGGTCATAACTGAGAGACTATGAGAGACGCTCTCAGAGACGCTGAAAGACTGAAAGACCCTGAGAGACTGAAATTTTTTATCTAGGGATCATACTTGACATTCTTTTCACATTCGACTCTGACCAGTTGTATTCACTGAACGCGTGATTTTTGCATTTATTTGTGCTTGTTAAGTTCATTATCAACACGCACCGTTGGCATATCGGTAAATCTAATCCTGCTTTCTACTATATTTGGCATTCGTATTAATCTTCATCAGTCATTCATTGAATACTGTGTCCGGAGAAACTATTGTATAAGCTCCGTGTTACTTGATGGAATACAAAAGAGCGGAATATATAGCTGCCCTTTAGAAAAGGCAATTTCAACCTTGTTATGTTGAATATAATCCTAACTAATATTATAAATTCCAAAGTTAGTTTATTTGTTTGTTTGTTTATTACTATTTCACGCTTTAACTACTCAGCTGATCATCATGAAATTTTGTACACATATTGTCAGGCATACAGAAAAGGACATAGGGTACCTTTTATGTAGAAAATAAGTACTGTTCCCGAAGGATAGAAAAAAAATTCCTTTCATCTCAATAAACGACTGTCATTGTCATTCTACGCAAAGAAAATTAAAAACTTTAGTTTTATCCTGATGATCCTGGTCAGGACTCAAGAAATAATTTATCCATCTATTGTATTTTCGATGAACTTTAGCACGTATTTACGCGAATGCTTGTAAATAATAAATATTTGGTAATAACTAACTATATAAAGGTTAGAAGAAGGGGCTGATTTTAGATATCTAGGAAGTCAGATAATTCAGGATGGAAGAAGTAGTAGGGACATAAAGCGGAGGATAGCGTAGGGTCGAGTCGGCTTCATTAAAAAGAAGTCACTTCTATGCTCGCGAAAGATTAATTTAGAAATTCGATAAAGATTGAAGGCCACAGTGATTATTTGATCGCGGTCATATTTATTTACAAATAAGTAGTGTAAAAATCAGGTAGTTGTTTATAAATGCCCGAGATAAAAATGTTCTGTCTCCCAGAGTCTCTGAAAGCGAGACTCGAGTCTCCGTCTCTCATCGAGTCTCTTTGGTGTCGCTGAGAGAGACTGTCGAGAGACTGGCAAAAAAACTGTTTAGCGTCTCTGAACGAGAGACTCGAGTCGCTCATAGAGAGATCCTCATTTCGTATCCAGTCTCTGAACGAGAGACTAGAATCTCTCAATAAGTGGTGTCTCGATAGACGTGGTTAAAATTTTCTAAGTTCTACATATGTCAGAGATCCCAGTCTTTCTATGACAGACTCGAGTTATTTAATTTTTCAGTTTTATTCATTCTGTCTCATTGTTAGAAACTCGAATCTCTGAATTAACAATTTTATCGTTCGAGTCTCTCATACAGAGACTGTGAGAGATCCATAAAAACACCTAGGCAATAACTGAGAGACTGAAAGACTGTGAGAGACGCTCTCAGAGACGCCGAAAGACTCTAAGAGACTGGAGAGAGACTGAAAATTTCTGTCTAGGGTGTTTATACTCTCGTTAATTTGATGTGCTCGAGACGAAGGTTTCGCCACATGACCCAAAATTTTTGTTCGTCAAATTTGTTATTCATTTTCGTATTGAATTATCTTAGAAATAAAGTAAAAGTAAACATTTAATTATCCATTTTTAATACATCACTAAATTCTCCCATACATCGAGCATTCATTTTTTTTACTTTAGACAAGATAAATGCACTGTGGTTTATAGGAGAATATTCTAAGAAACTTTTATTACTAATTATTAACTACGCATTATAAATATGTGTTAATAAGTAGGAGTAATGTAAAATACCGCCCTGTAAAGTACGAATTTAATTATTTATTATTCTATTATGGAAACTAAAAGGACAGTACAGGTATTAAGGTAGTTAATAATCGATGAATGTAAAAATTAAATGACTATAATTTAAATAGCACCAAGGAAATTGAATGGAATATAACCTCTCGTGAACCCCCTATTACTTTTCTCAAGAGAGCTGTAAATATATGGCAATAAAGTGACTACGCCATATGCACAATATGAGTTCAGTTTTATTGACTATAAACTCCCAAAAACAGTAATCCTTATGGTACCAAAACATTAATGCTGTATTTTTCGAACACAGCACTGCTACATCAAGTTATTAGCAGCGCGCATGCTTAATTATAAACCGAACCAAATCTAACAACTACAAAAATATATGCTATTCTTATAAAGGATTTAATTCAAATTGCATACTTTTATATTAATGAACAGCCACAGTGTATTTTCTTTCGTTAAATTTTACCCCCTCCTTACCTGTTGTGGCGTTACGGCTATTAGATGTCGTCAGCCATATCTGACAGCTGTCATCGTTAGCCATCTTATAGGGCTTCTCTTGCCTCAAATGCTCTGCTGTTGCGGGTGCTGAGCTATAACGCCAGAGTAGGAATGAAAAGGATAAAATTGAAAGTAAAATTTAAAGAAAAAATATACATAGAATTTTGAACCGGAACGAAGGTTACATATCTACTCACAGAGAGTACAGCAGGTGCCATCTGTAGAGATAGATTTGCTACTAGTTCGAATGAGTGGTGGCCAATATCGTATTGACTTTAATATGAATAATCGTTTTTACCTTCCTTAAAAAATAACAAAACAACAAATTTAAACAATATCAGAAGAAATAAAATTATAATATGTGAATGAGTCTAAAAAGCATTACTAATAAAAGAAATACAATAAGGCCCCGCTTAACGCTGTTTCGTTTAGCGCTGTTTCAGTTTAGCGCTCTTTTATTTCAACCTGGGGATTCCCCGAAATTATGCTCAGCGCTAGGTTTCCAAATATGTACATATCACACCCAAAAGAGTGTAGTTGTGTTGTAAAAAGGAGTTTGACCACTATAACTGAAATTATAGACCAATTTGTTGAAAATGATCGAAATTTTGAAGGTTCAAAAGCAAGACGGGGTGTTATACAGGGTTTGTCTGGAAAGTAATAGGACTGAGTCGATTTAAAAAAATTATTCAGCCAATCGTTACAATTCTTTAAAAACTTTCTAAATAGGCTCCTTCTGCGTCGATGCAGCGCTACCAGCGCGATTTCCAAGCATTGAAGGCGTCACGGAAGGCATTCTCTGGAATAGCCTTAAGAGCCGCGGTGCATGCTGCTTCGATCCCCTCTCTCGTCTCAAAATGCTTGCCTTTCATCTGCCTTTTCAGGCGAGCAAACAAAAAAAAGTCAGGGGACCACATCTGGGCTGTAGGGCGGCTGCGGAAGCGTTGGGATGCCGGCCTTGGTCAGGTTGTCAGGTAGCTGTCCACAAGAAAGGCGGTGTGAGCCGTCATGTCTTGTCGGACCCGATTGACCCTTCGTTTGAGTCCCTTGAGCACTTCCACGTAAAACTTGGCGTTGACGGTTTGTCCAGGAGGAACAAAAATTGGGGTTCACTTTCACACAGGTTTAAGTTTTCTTGGCACACTTCCACTCGCCGTAATTTCTGGTCGTCAGTGAGCACTTTTGGGACCATCTTCGCGCACACCTTGTGCATGTTCAAATGCTCCGTCACAATGTCATGAACCACAGATTTTGGTAAATTTAATATCTGAGTAATTAAACGAATACTTAGTCGACGGTCTGAGTTCAAAACTTCGCGCACACGAGTCACATTGTCGGTGTTTGTCGAAGTCGAAGGTCCTTCAGAACGGTCTTCATCGGCGACCTCTTCCCGGCCCTCTGAAAACCTGGTGCCACCGAAACACACCTGCTAAAGCAACATCTGGGTAAGCCTGCTTGATCATATCAAACGTCTCTATCGCAGATTTACCGAGTTTCACACAGAATTTAATAGGGTACCTCTGCTCCAACGAACGCTGCATTTTTGGCTTGCACTACTCACAGAAACACGTCGCGCGAAAATGCCTGTTCTGACTCTCCAGGTGCTCGGAGACAACTCACCAGCCGCTCGTTCGTTAGCTAGGAATGCCCTCTACCGAATCCAGTCGGTGCGCGCACGCTCCGAAATACAGTCGCGGCGGAAGGAAATCAGTCCTATTACTTTCCGGACAAACCCTGTAGATGCTTTATCCACTTATCAACAACTTATTAACAGAACGCAAAAAGAAAACTACATTAGATGCCTTCTTGACAAAAAGACAGAAAATTGGAATCCTACGCGTTAAGCGGGGTGTTACTGTACTTATGAAATGAAATGAAATACTACATGAATGCCTACAAAAAAATTAGGAGCAAATCAGCTTCAAGGATATTTCAGTTTACAAGTGCTCTTTTTCTGTTGCTATCGTAAAAAAAGTGTATTCCTATTAACAAAATGACCTGACCTTTAAATGGTCTTAAAAACACAACTCGTGTCAAAACTTTTCCCGCACAAATGGGATTGACTCATGATATTTCGGATACTTGGTTGTTTTTAGTTCTTACAAACTTTTCCATTTCTTCTATTTTTAAAGCCAGAAATAGGCATTCCCATTATAAAAATTGTTTCTAATATAATGAAATCTAATCGAGGTATTTCATTGTCTAAAAATAAATGGCTCACTTTGTATATATAGAATATCCGACTGCTCTTCCATTAAGAAAGGTCGATAGTATTTTTTTTTACGTATCCTTATTGTTACAGGAGCAAAGATGGTAAAAACCTCACATTGAACGATGCGGACAAATATGTAGGAGGAAACACCAAAGATCCTTCCCTTATTATTAAGAGTGTTACGAGGGATGATATGGGTCGGTACAGATGTATTTGTAAAAATATGGTGGGTTCGTCCGAATCTGAAGAATCAATTTTCCTCAACATTCATTGTAAGTATAATTCACGTCAATGCGGATATACCTATTGCAAAAAAAGACAGCATGAAATCACAAAAGTATCGAATACGTCACTGAATTCCGAATTTCGGCCGTGATGTATTTTATTCATGTAGTAATTAATCTTGAGAACATTGATTTATTGTCACCATTCGCCTTTACCGGTTCCATACTTCATGTGTCCCTTTTTGTGTGTCAGTGCTATTTTTCTGGGAAACTTTTTAAGAAAATAATATAAACGTAGACATTTGAAATTTGAGAGCGTCATAATAACTGAGGAAAACACAAAACAATAGATATTTCAGTAAATACAATTAGATAATACTTATAATATTTTTTTGTCTAATGAAAATTTTCAAACAGTATCTCAACGAATTTATGAAGTCGTTCCTCAGTGTATACATGACCGATGAACTAGTACAAAATGGTTTGTCTGGAACCTGTTACCGACTAAATTTGATTTAAGGATATACTAGTGTTGTCTGGGTCAAACGAGTTTATCCAGTTATAGGGTAAGACTATATTTTAAATCAAAACAACCATAACCCTTACCATTAAAAAAAAAGAAAGAAATTAGTAGAAAATACATAAATGACTAGGTTATGACTGCTTTAATTTGCCTGATTTAAAATTTAAATGCTAGTTTGACTCAGGTGAAAGTAATTTATGCCAAAATTGGGTTTGACTTCTTACATTTTAGGAGAAACCAGTTTGGAATAGACCATAACCTTTGATATTAAAAAAAAAGAAAGAAATTAGTTGAAAATATATAAATGATTAGGTTATAACTGCTTTAATTTACCTGATTTAAAATTTAAATGCTAGTTTGGCTCAGGTGAAAGTAGTTTATGCCAAAATTGGGTTTGACTTCTTAGATTTTAGGAGAAACCAGTTTCGAATAGACTAAACTAGTTGACCCTATCGCCTTTGAAACAATCTGGTTTGACCTAGGCAAAAATAATTTATCCTGAAGTTGTGTTTGACTGGTAACATTTTTCTGTACTGTTATACTCAAGTAGATGTAATCATACAAAGGGCTGCATACAGTTGGTGGAATTAACCAAAAAAAGAACATATAAATGATATCCGACAAAATTTTTTTTTAAAACAATAAGTATATTTATGACGAGACGGGATGACAAGGTAATATACCTTTACGTACGAAGGAATGTTATTCAGGGAATTGTTTAATAATTGAATGGTTTTCCCTGGAAAGCGTCAACATTCCTCGAGCTATTTCACGAAAAAGATAATATTTAATCAAAATGCGAAATAATTTTCTTTTAAGTCAGGTGGAAGTCGCATGCTTCGAATTAATAATGTCAAAATAAAATGCCAGCAGCCGCGAGTTCATGAAAATTTGGAATTAGATGAATTAGACAAAATTGCCACGAATTCCGGATAAACATAATTTAAGCTGTATCCGTACATATACATAATATGTAGGTACTGCTATACAGGGTGTAACAGAAATAAGTGCCGAGCTTGCATGAGGTGATAGAGCTCTCTAAAACATGAAAATTAAGTAAATGTTTGTATGTCTGAATGTTCATTGCTATCGAGAAAAACGAAGTTGAAAGTTTAGGTAAATTCAATTCCGAGCCTGGTTCATAAATACGACCCCAACACTGCACTCGATTAGCTGGCGATTACCAGCATCAGCGTAGTATCTGTTTTGTATTTTTTTGCTCATGTACCTAGTGTTTGCTTCTTAGACTAGATTTAGTATGATTTAGGGTGTTTATGTTAACAGTTAACCTCTAGTATCCTTTTATTCTTTTATCGTCTAAACTTTATGCAGTTCAATAAACTAATTCAGCAATACAACATCAATTATTAGCGTAGGTCAGTCACTGTAGAGCAGTTGTTACAATAATGTGACATGATACGTATTTACTATATTTTTTGAACCATATGGCTGCTGTAAGGACGAAATCTTTGATTTCAAATGAAGTTGTTTTATGACCGCCTATAGGAAACTTCGGAATTTTAACTCACAGGAGTGACTATTGCATCTATATAATATCTTTATGTTGTAGTTGTGATAAACTTTATAAATAAGATGCAAAAGCGCAGGCGCCAAGAAAATAACTGTCTCGTTTATTATTTTCTTTGTGTCAATTAATATTTCTACCTACAGCCAGTTTTTGACAATTACCAGACAATTACAATAGTGACTAAATTGAACCAAACAAAACATTATTTTCGAATCGAATAGTCGAGATTTTGGTCATTCATTATAAAAGGTTTATGAAATACTTTTGACATTTTTTAGTAGTAATTAGTTTTTAATATGAAATATTACTATGAAAATTCATTTTTCGGATTTTTTACCCACTACAAACTATTTTCCCTCATTAACCTGAGGTAGTTTGTAGTGGGTAAAAAATTCGAAAAATGAATTTTCATATCAAAAACTTTATTTTATATTAACAGTTACAAGACAATATTAATTCAGTCGTCAGGGATTCAAAGGAAGTTTTAAAGTAATTTTCTTTGCCCAAAACTGAAAGTGGCATTTATTTTACTCAATTTAATCTCTTTTTTGACATGCGTTTAATTTTTAATTGTGTATGTATGATAAGGTAAATAATACCGCTGCACTGTTGAGCGTCCATCGTCCACAGCCTATACACTTGAACCACAAATCAAACATTAATTTTCGTTACTCACACAATCGTTAAGTTCCACGTAATCATCATCAATTACATTTGGCATTTCAATATCGGATTTATGTGTTTCACTATAATTTCAGTTGATCTCCTTTTTGTATGTTTCTTGCTTTTCACTATTATTCAATATTTTATGAAGAAATTTTGGATACACCTAATGAATTAAATACTAAAGTTATATTTTTATTTATGTCTTTAAGATATTCTTCCTTTTTAGTATTTTATTATTTTAGTAACAACGTCTATAATATATAAATTTAACTATCTATCTGTCTAAAAATAAGTAAATTAAATAATAGTTTGCAATTTAACATCTACAAGAATATAACGTCCACAGATACTATAATACCTATTTGGTTTAATCAACCTACGAAAATAAAACATGGGGTATTTCATTCTTGTTATTTAGACTACGTAATGTATTACTATGTGAAGAAAAGTTTCACCTAGAGTTACAAAACATAAAAAACTAAAGGTTACAAATAGTTATTCTGAGAAACTTGTAGAAAAAATTTTAAAACAAAAATTAAAAATACAAACACGATAACATCAGTTGCCATGTAATATGTAAATTAAAACGATTAAAATTTTCAGCAACTGAAGTAAATTGATCTAATTTAAGTAGCTGATTGGTCAATAACAAAACAAAAGTAGAGAAAATTAACAATAGTGGTATCTACCAAATCATTTGTAACAACAGTGAAGCCATATATATATATAAGTTAATCAGTGAGCTAGGCTAAAAGAACATAAGTCCTCTGTAAAAAACAAAAAATGTAATACATGTCTAGCAGAACTTTACAACAAACATAATCACAACATAGATACAGTAAGTATCAAATTAATTCTTATTCAGAAGAAAGGTAAAAAATTAAATTTAAATAAGGAAAGCAATAGACAAAAAAATTATAGTTAGCAACTAGACGAAATTGCCCATAACGAAATCGCTACTCATTATCTGTAATTTAATATTCACGGTTTTCCATTGGTGCCTCACCACCTAGCATGCACACAAGTAATTGTAACCTTTTACTTTTATGAATTTTATGTATGTATGTCTTTGATAATGTCTTAACTGTCCTAATGTCCTAACTGTAGGTCGAACCATATGTCAAATTCTGATAATAAACTGAGACTTACATCGAGTGATTTTTTATTGTGTTATTCTCTACAAACACAATCGACCGTAAAGAATTACTTTTTCTGGTCGTCTAGAATTCATTATAGCAGGGGTTTATATAGGTCTAATATAAAAATCGCATATCAGGTTTTATCCACCCTTTAACAGTTATTTTTCAATGTTTTCTGCAATTACGTGTATATCTATGTTTTCTCGCATGATTTCCGAAGAAACACTCTGACAGAAGATATTAATGTAATTTTAGGAATGTAAGCTCTTAGCAGTGTTACCCGTATTCCAGATTCTCACATCATTCACACAGCTGAAGTATATATAAGAGTATTCGGTTAGAATTAATTAAATTCCCTCAATCCTTTTCGTTTCTCCCGCCGCCTCAGTTGGAATTTCTGGAAAAATGAGCTAACTAAAGTTTCTACTTTCCGGTAAAAGCTTATCCATAATTGTCATTCTTGCAGTTCCACCAGTAGTTGGAGTGGCCGCAGAACCATCGACTCCCGTTAAAGCAATCGATCGAACCAATGTGACCCTAACATGCAATGTTATCGCCGGAAATCCACCTACGCTACTGAATGTAATCCACTTGACGTTTTAGTACCTAATCTTGTTTTGATGATGAAATATGTTAAAGGTGGAGTGGTACTTGGACGGGGAATTACTGGAAAAGCTTCCCAGATGCTCTCGTACAGAGAACAAGGCTACTGAAACGTTTTGTTCTCCAGACCCCAGTGTACTCCTCTTAAGGGAAGTTGATGAAAAATTTGCCGGGTTCTATGAATGTAGAGGAAGTAATATAGCAGGATGGGGATCTAAATCTGATCGAAAGGAACTGGTTGTCTATTGTAAGTAAAACATGATAGATACATATGGATAGACTTACTTTTCTTACAATCAGTAAAATATAACTGCATTGGTACATATTCAGGTAGTAATATTGGTAATTTAAATAATGAAACAACAATGTAAAGTAACTGGTAATATATCGCCATTTATTACAGATGTTTACACTACTAACTTCAATATTTCGTGCTGACTGATTGACAAGGCGCTAGAAAAGTAAAAAAAAGATCGATTTTATGACAAAAATTTGAATACCGGACAATATTTTTACTTGAAGTTTTACGGGCAGGTTTTCATATTGGACAAGTAAATTAACAATCTGCCCTTACAACATGAAGTAAAAATTTTGTTGTGATTCGTTTTTCTACTTGTCCGTTGAAGTTTTACTTCTCCTATGTGTTCCAGCACACATTTCGTTTTCACAGGTTTTGACATCAACAGTAAGACTTTTGCTACGCTACTTTCAGCGCTCGGTCGTTTTATTATTATTTCAACGGCTTTTAAATGAAAAATCGAGATGCAACTTTGAAGGCTGACGCTTCTACTTTCAAAATTTGTTTATAAAATTAAAATCACACGATCCAGAGAGCTTTGAGACTCCTTGAAAGAAGACGGTACGAAAAGTTTCAAATCGCTATTGTGGAAAAACTAATATTTTTCCGACAGCGCCTGGTTTTCGCACGTATAAAGTAAATATAAATTACTCTCATTTCCCGCAATTCCAGCGCACATTGTCATTTTCTCTTAATTTCTCGGTTAATATTGATCCGATCGAATTGATCGTAGTCCGAACCTATAGATACTTTCGTTCTTTATGATTTTGTTCAAAAGACTGCTTCCTTAGTTTACATCCACAAAATGAAAAAAATATTTCTTTGGTTTTAATTGTTTATTATCACTAAATTTCAGTAAATGGCGATATACTACCGATATAATCCAACCTTTTTTGAAATTGTTTGTAAACACAGGTTTTGCCTTAATTTATAATCTGTGAAACTTTAAAACCAAAAATTTTTAAGACTTTCAAATTTAGGTACTTACAATGATACGGTCCCTTAAAATAAACGTAACTGTTTGAAGCATTTAACTAGAGAATACTTGGGAAGGGTCAATTTATAGAGCTTGTTGCAATTCCTTTAAAAATTCGCTTTACCTTTTAGATCCACCAGGACCGGCGTTTGTACAATATTTCCCCTCCAGAGTTATAAAGAAGGGATCGGTAACATTAGAATGTTCCGTTATTCGTCCAGGAAGACCCGAAGAAATGACCTTCGAATGGTATAGAGGCAACCATTTAGTGCCTGATGTTACAACATCTAATTGGACTATATACCCAGTTACTTTAGAAACTAAAACTAATTTTACCTGCCTCGCCGTCAATGAAGGGGGGAAAAGCACCAATTCGTCGATTGGGATTAATGTTTTGGGTTTGTTATTTTTGTTTATAAAAGTATGTGCAAGGATGTAGAACGTGACCAATTTTTATTATAAATTTTAGCACCTCCTTCATTTATCCAAGCTTTACCACCCTATCAAGGCGTATTAGCAACATCAAATAACATATCACTAACATGTAGAGTGGAGTGCTCTCCGCTATGCTCAATAACATGGTACCAGGACGGCTACAAATTGAATAGTACAAACAACCCCCTGTATTATACTAAAACTGTCACTCATTTACCAGATACTAGAAAGAACGATTTCGAATCTATTGAGTCCACATTAGTAAGTAGATAGTTTTCTACTGTCTCCAAAGGAGCTAATAAATGATTTTTTATTTTCCAATTGCAGGTATGGAACATGACTTCCTGGCCAAATCAACAACTGGACAAGGTTGCACCCAACTCGAATTATACATGTCAAAGTTCCACGAATGGAGTTGGACCAGGGGTTAACTCGACTATTGAAATAGCTGTTGATTGTAAGTTATAATTTTTTCATAACAGTGACTATTTTTCGAGGCATTGTATATAATTCATTACCGACGTGGTACTTCGAATTCAAATGAAAAAAAATTCTAATAACAAACGTCAAATGTGTAACGTAAAATGGTAAAAATCACTAAATTGTGTTATTTTAATTAACATTTATCAAAAAGCGAATCATAAATTACGTAACGTAAAATTCATAATTTGTGATCTCCCTCTCCCCAGGTAACAGGACCGTGACGCCTAGTCTGACCCCACTTTCCTCCATTCCGTTGTGTAACGCGTGCATTTTAAAAAAAATAGGTTTGAATTAAGGTATTTTTTCTTTTCGGTTCTAAAATCGTTACATAATGCATACTTTGACCCCCGTCTTCCCTCAAATAATATGACCTAACATCAAACTGAACTCTTCTCCCAATTTACGTTATGAAATTTACAACAACCCCAGTAGCTAAAGAATGACCTAGATAGAAGTTCTGAAGGTCAAAAGGTGGTAAGTTGCTGATGGACAGGCGATCGATATGATTTTGTATCCCGCCAGTATAACTACTAGCCCCCAATAATATGTTCATTTAATGCTATATTCAATTCTAATAAGAGTTAATGAAAAAGAATTTTGGATAAAGAGTTACCATATAAGAATTCCAGTACAAAAGAAAAAGTAACGTTAAAATTTAAAAAATAAATCAAAGGTACATCAAGCAATAACTAACTAAGTTTGCGCACCGGGAATTTTTATGGTAGTTGTTACGAAGCTGGACCAAACATGGACGAATATTTGTCCATAAAATACTCTTGAGCTGCGTTGTCTAATCGTTAGTTCAAAACTTAATATTCGAAAGGAGATCAGTTCAATTACCCAATTTTCTGTGATTGTTTTGGTCTTTTGGGTAAAAACTGAGGTTGTAATATTCCACATCCACTCTGTTTTCATATCGGCAGTCTAATTTGTCTCTCCCCAACCACGACCTACATGTCACAATTCCAAAGGGGGTTCAAGTGGGCCTTCCAACCTACTCTTCGGCTTCTCATTATCAAAGGATCTGCCCGCAAACGGGAAGTAGCAGGTGGTGTTTTTCTTTAATTTTTCCATAAAATATTTGTTTCACATAGTGGCACATCACCGCATCACTTTTCTAGAAATTCTCCCTTTTATTTCCACACTTCTTACATGCAGGTAATTGCTTCATTTATTCATTCATTTGGGAATATGGAAGGAAAATCATTTATGAGTTTGAGATAGTCTCTCTTTTGCTCGTCTAAAGAGGAGACCAATTGGAATCCCTCAAGTTCTAGAAAATAATTACCAACGTTTTGCCTGCAGACCAGCGAGATTTAGCCTTCTCGCTCGTCATTTTACCACACGTTCACGATATTCTTTGGACTTTAGTACGTAACCTGCATCACTTTTCTACAAATTCTCTGTTATTTCCACGCTGCTTATATGCAGGTAATTAGTTCATTTATTCATTCATTTGGCAGTTTGGAAGGAAAATCATTTATGAGTTTGGGATAGTTTGACCAATGATGTACATTTGTTCGTCTAAAGAGTAAACCAATTAGACTCCCTCACGTCCCAGAATTTAATTATCAAAGTTTTAGCCTACAGACCAGCTAGGTTTAGCCTTCTTGCTGAGATTTTACGATGCGTTCACGATATTCCTTGAACTTTTAACACCAAACTTTTATACCTAGTCATAAAAGCGTTTCACAGCTGAACTGTACCCGCTAACTACGCTTTATTTTGGTAGATTTCATATTTTTGCTTATATGAAGTCTGATTATATTTAACTTCACTTAAACATAGCAATTGACTGTGCTACTGGCTGAACGGTCGAAACGATATATGATGGGGTTTCCATCTTACGTGAAATATCTATCGCATCGTGTCTATATTTGACCTTTCCAAATACCTTAAAGCAACTAACAATGTACGAATCAGTTTTCGACAGGTATTCTTAAAAATTTCATGAATGAGTCGATACAATTAATGCAGCTTTTCACTGTGACTTTAATAAAATATCTTAATAAGTGAAAAAATGATATTACACTCTGTAGCTTTGATATAACGAAAAATCGACAATATGCACCCTACTGTGCTTGAATATTTGCTTACAGACTAGGTTTTTCCGCTTATGATTACCATATGTTTGGACATTGAATGCCAGCGATTCTAGGACTTCGTTCACAACTGCGTAGGCAATCTCCCTGCGACTTTTTATAAAAAAGGTTAAAAACATTGAAAATCCTTGTGATTACTTATAGGTATCATTATCACAAGGTCGTCCGTCCTAAGACTGATTGGACACTCATCTCCACTCTTTCCTATCTAGGTCTACCCTACCCCTCCTAACTCCCGCTTCTGCCTCGAATATGTCTCTGACTAGACCATCTTGCCTGAGAAGATGTCCTAATAACCCATTTCGCCAAGTTTTGATTGACTTCCATAGAGTCCTCTGTTTTCCTATTCTTTCTAAAACCTCTTCTATTTCAAACCTTCTCTATCCTTATCATTTGCCTGTAACACCACATTTCGAACGCTTGTAATTTTTTCTTTTCTGCCGCCCTCACTGTCCATGGTTCACACCCATGCAGCGCCGCGCTCCAAACCTACACCTTTAACAACCTTTTTCGAATTTCTAACCTAACCATTCGCGAGCATCGTAGAGTCTTCTTTTATTGAAGGCGACTCGACCTTGCGCTATCCTCTGCTTTATATCCCTACTACTCCTTCCGTCCTGACTTATCCGATTTCCTAGATACTTATCTTTTGCTCTGTATATCTATCCCACAGACAGTTGCACTGTCTTTAATGATGCTGATCGCGTCTTCGATGTATAGATTAAAAAAATCGGTTGTCTGTAATGTCGGTTTACTGACGATAGTTGAACGTGACAACGTCATAAGAAAATACTGATGGAATGGTTTCATTTTTCAAAAGAAAATTTTAATTTTATTTGTTTGATAGATATTTTGTATGGATATAGAGAAGGAGGTAAATGGAAATGTATTATTGTATAGCAGCTGTCCACGCGGACGCATCGCTCACTCAAGTAGGAGAGAGACAGATGTCAAACGCTGCCGAATGCGGAGGCCGATTGTGCCTCTTTGCCGCTCGTTCCGCGCTCTCGCTTGCACTTCAAACCTTAAATGGAATGCCTCAGAGCAAGTTAACGCCGCATGAGTCATGTTTTTTCGTGCGTGCAGCCGCTCCATCGAATTATAAGACGTTGTCACGTCAAAAGTATTGGTGACAGTGTGCATCCCTGTCTGACTCCTTTGCTAATATTTACTTCTCTAATTTGCTGCTCCAGCTCTATAACTGCCTGTTGCTCTTTATACAAACTAAGTATCACTCTTCTATCCTTGTAACTCGTCCCTACATTTTTAAGTACATTTAACATCTTGTCCCATTTAACATTGTCAAAAGCTTTTTCTAAATCTACAAATCCTATGTACGCACTCCTTCCTTTTTCTATCGTTTTCTCTATTGTTATGACCTCCCGCGTTCCCCTACTTCTTCTAAACCCAAATTGATCTTCCCCTAACAGTTCTTCTGCCCTTTTTTCCATCGTCCTCTGTACAATTCTAGTTAATATTTTTCACGTATGGGAAGTTAAGCTAATTGTTCTAAATGTCTCGTGTTTATATTGAAACCACCTTCATAAAGATATTTGCATGGGTAGCTGCATCATGTAACTCCAAAATTTAAGTTTAGCGTAAGATAGCAACATAAATGCTTACCACTTCATTAGCATACAGATTTATGCCCGTTTTCAGTAAAGTCAAGAACTTTCCAATTCTCATTGCACTCTCTTTAATAAAATTTATCGTCATCCAGTTCAGTTCACCTGCTACTTTGAAACGTGAATCGATTTATTGTTGCAGATCCCCCAGAAAATCTGACGGTAACAAATCGCGTCATATCAGTTGTTGAACATTACCAACCGGAACGAGTTATATGTAGCGGCAAAGGACATCCTGCCCTGTCATTTGTTTGGAAAAACTCGGAAAATCAGGTTATTTCCAAGTCTCATGTGCTCAGTTTGGGACTCGTAGACAGACAGGATTCTGGAACGTACGTTTGCGAAGCGTCAAACAGGCATGGAACAACTAGCACAACAATTATCCTTAATGTTCAGTGTAAGTATAATATTTGTAGCAAAACGGAAAAAAATAAGGGTGGATCTATACGTTAACGGAACTACTGTTACCCTCTTGAATAAAAAACAAAAATTAATATCAAGCTTCCACAAAGACACTTAGTAACTCAAAATGCGTTTCCACAATTCGAGGCCAGGCTTTACTGGTTATGTGAAATTTGGGATTTAGTGTTTTATTTAATTGATTGTCTTGGTGTTTTTTTCAAAACATCTTTTATTTCATTCGAAATTTGAGACTGCTTTAAAGATTCATAATATATTTTGAATGACCATAATATACGGTGCATTGTTTATTAAACGCCTTAATAGTAAAAAATTATTTAGGATAAAATAATTCTGTGTGAGATTCATTAAAATCTTTATTTTATTTTCTCTAACGATCTATTTTTCAGAAATGCTTTTTAGCGACTTGTATTCTACTTTGACGTATTTCTAAGTAATATTAAAGAAATAGTAGTAGTAGGTCAGTAATGTCGGCTTTACGTAAGCGGGGCTTCTGAATTTTCTGAATTAATGAAGAAACAAAAAATTATCGCTAAGCTGGGTAAAGGCTTTTTATTGTTATAAAAACCACAGCCGACGTTTCGCCTCAATTGCAAGGCATCGTCAGGGATAGATTTCTAAGTTAACAATTGTGTGAATTACACCCAACCAATGAATTCACACAATTGTTAACTTAGAAATGATGATGCCTCGTAGTAGAGGCGAAACGTCGTTTGCGGTTTAATAACAATGTAACAATAAAAATTCTTATCACAGCTTATTTTTTTTACAATTCGACAATTGTTCGGGGAAGAAATGTAAACTAGAAACAAAAAGGAAACTGATAGATAAGAAAGTTGAAAATAATTCTGTGATAGAAGCAGTTTACTGAATTCGGCAATAATTTCAACTACGTACAACTGATAGTTACATGTGTATGTGTTAAAGCAAACTGAAATTTTAATTTCTACTGACGGGCTCTATGATAAGCTCCATATTTCAATTGAATTTTGTGTTTGATCCAGCTTGCCGTGCATGCATGTATTGATTCGGAGTGAAATCACGAAAAGAGATTTAAAAATGAAATTGCCGCGCTTTCGCATTCACTACGGAATTTTTACTTTCCTCTTTTATTTTGCAGTTCGTATCTAACACGTTGTTTGGAATGCTTTATTTCGAATTTATGTATGAATAGTTTGTTTACAACAGATCCGCCAGAGTGCTCCATACAAAGTGCGGATTACGAACAGAACCCCGCTATTATGTGCAGTGCCCATGCCGATCCCCAGGAAATTGGTTTCATTTGGAAGATTCAAGGAGTAAACGACAGCATTATCAACCCGTCCTTGATATATCAGGAAGGTCTTAAGAGCTACCTGCTTATCGATCCAAGTCTCGATACAGTACGAACGTACCAATGTTTCGCCAACAACTCCGTTGGAATTAGTGAGCCGTGCGAATACGAAGTCACAGGTAAGAACACTGCTTATGCATACTTACGAAGAAACTAATTTGGAATGCAAATTTTAAACAAACTCTCGGTAAAAAGTAGGACAACTCAAAACACTAAATGCATGAGTACATCTAGTGGAAAACAAGATTCAAAAATAAATAAATAAATAATGGTGATACTGCAGGTTAATCAACTCAAGAATGTTCAATCTTTCAGTTAAAATATCGAAAATATATTTCATCAATTTTATTAATGTAAATAGGGTACAGTAGCGATTAGTGAAAATTGCATGAAAATGTGGCGATTTAAAGTTGAGACTGATATGGAATAACTAAAAATTTATTTATTTATTTATAAATTTCTATTAGTAAATGTGAACATAAACTATGCACAGTGATAAAATTGACATAATTCAAAGGTTAATTTACTCGCAAACCACTCAACCCGTGTTTGTGATATAAATCAGAAGATAGCGAGTCGAGTCGCCTTCAATAAAAAGAAGTCACTTCTATACTCGCGAACGATTCATTTAGAAATTC